CTCGAACTCACAATGATCCTCCTGCCTCAGCCTCCCGAACGCTGGGATTACAGACGTGCGCCACCACGCCCAGCTCAGGAAAACCCCTTTCTTCCTAAGGACTTTTGGTCCCTGTCCCTGAGGACCTGAGCTCAGGCAGCCACCCACCCAGGGCTGTGGCGGGTTGATTCCAGAGAACGTGGGCCCTCAACACCCCATCACGGGAGCCAGGCTCAGCCGGGGCCTCCGTGGCTGAACCTGCCCAGCCCTGTGCCCACCCGGACTTGGCTTCCTCCCCTGCTGTGACAGCCGCTGGTGCAGGGTAGGGGCCCCTGCTGAAGGGCTTGGAGAGCCCCTTTGCTCCCGGGTCACCTGGAGAGGGCGCCCTTCCTCGCTGAGCCCTCGCATCGCATCCCCGACCCGAGGTTTAAAGCGGCTTCTCAAGGGCTGGGGTGTCGCTCGGTGGTTAGCGCTCACCAAGCGCACAGGCGCCTCTAGGTTTCACTCCAGCACCACAAAAAAATTTTAAAAGTAGTTTCTCAAGACGTTTTGCAGCCCCTCTCCCTGTGCTGTTCATTCCCTCCGAACTTTGTTTCGGAAACTTACACGGCTCAGAAAAGCATGCGCGCGCGCGCACACACACACACAAATCATCCGCAGCCTGTCACCCAGAGACAAGGACGTGGCACCTCTGTCGTGGGGTGTCTGCCTGGCTGCTGTTCACGACACGTTCGTATCACGGGTTGGCAGGTGACTCCTCCGTCACGCCATTGTCCCTCGGGAACCGCCGTAGACAGTGTGCACGTGAGCCAGCGCAGCTGTTGTCAATAAAGCTTTATTTACAAAGGCAGACAGCGGGCCGACCTGGCCCCTCTACTTGTAGCTTAAAGGCAGCATTTAAGTTCTTCCTGTTGTTTTTTAACTTATAAATTTGTATCAGTCCATGACTGTAGTGTGTCATGTCTGCATTCCTCGTGGGGAGCTGGTGCGTGGACGGAACGCATCTTTATTCTCCTTACCTCGCTTGTTCCTCCCCGCTCCACCTCTTGGTCCCCTTCCCGCTTGCAGAAGCTCTATCTCCCTGTTCCCCACTAGCTGTCTTTTATTGTGCTCTTTAAATTACATATGCCTTGGGTTTCTCATGTAAGAGAAACCATCTGATAGTTACTCTTTGGTCTGATTTACTTCACTTAACATTGTGGTCTCAAGGTGCACCCATTTTCCTACAGATGACTCAAATGTACCCTTCTTTATGGCAGAGTAGTACTCCATTGTGTATGAATACCACATTTTCTTCTGTTGTTGAGGGGTTTTTGTTTATTTGTCTCACTGTGTAGTTCAGGCTGGCCTTGAACTCACACTGTAGCCCAGGATGGCTCAAACTCACGGTGATCCTCCTGCCTCAGCCTCCCAAATGTGGGGATACAGGTGTGCACCACCATGCCTGGCTGTAGAATTCTTTCTGGACGGATGCACAACAAAGTGGGAATACTGGTTGGCTCAGGGATTTGAGGAGGACTGTCATTGATAGATACTATATGGCACTGTATCTTTTTTGGGTAGTGTAAAGTGTTCATTACTGATTATATAAAAAAAAAATTGACTCTATATCTATAGTCCCAGCTACTTGGGAGGCTGAGACAGGAAGGTCATTTGAGCACAAGAGTTTGAGGCCGGCCTGGGCAACATAGTACAACCCTATCTTTTTTAAGGGGGGAAAAAAAAGCATATTAAATTGATACCTTAAAAACATCTGGGTACAGTAGTGCATGCCTGCAGTCCCAGCTGTTTGGGAAGCTGATGCAGGAAGATTGCAAATACGAATCCAGTCTGGGCAACTTAGTGAAACCCTGTCTCAAAATAAAAAGGCCTGGGGATGGAGCTCAGTACAGAGGCCCTGGGTTCAATCCCCAGTACTGGCAAAAGAGAAAGAGAGAGATACTAGGGTATCATTGCAGTAGTTGAGTTTTTTTGTTGTTTTGTTTATTTTGTTGGGTCTTTTTGAGACAGGGTCTCACTATGCAGTTCAGGCTGGCCTTGAGCTCACTTTGTAGCCCAGGCTGGTCTCAAACTCGCAACGATCCTCCTGCCTCAG